GGAAGTAAGCCATCGACAGCCCATCCACCGGCAAGGCTATGGCCACTATTTGGCAGTTTAACAGTACTATTCTGCCTTCCAAGCAAACAAAATGAATCATCGAAGGAAAAGTACCCCAATGGCCGAATCGAATTCTCGCTATCCTCAGCAGACAATATCACTGCACGAAAATTGCGGCTTCGCGGTTGCTGTGGCTTGCAGCTCTCCTTTGCCAGTTTGTAACGCAACTGAAAAATTTTTCGACTATTTGTCCAGAAAATTAAGAAAAATAAAAAAATTAAGAAGAGGGACAAATAAGAAAAAGAAGGCGCGCTTCAAAAACCAAAAATTTTTCAAAAGTATTAAAACTTCCGCTAATTAAATTCGTATTTTTTACTGAAATTTATTCATAGCATTTGCTTTTCAGTTTAATTCATTTGAGCAGCTATGGATCAATTTTGTCAACGAAAAGCTGCAGCAGTTTTTCAATCACCACATGTTCGTACTAGAACAAGAGGAATATGCTAGGGAGCACATCGAATGGACGTTTATCGACTTTGGCCTCGATCTTCAAGCTTGCATCGAACTAATTGAGAAACCTATGGGTATCATATCGATGCTCGATGAGGAATGCATCGTCCCGAAAGCAACCGATATGACACTGGCACAAAAACTCAACGAACAGCACTTGGGCAAACATCCGAATTTCGACAAACCAAAACCACCCAAAGGTTTCTACTATTCACGAGAAACAAATTCTGTTAATGTTATGGCAAAATGACAAACAAATTCAAAGTTGAGAGAGAGCTTACTAACTGAAGCCCTAGGCTGCAGCCTATTAGGCTTACCGTTGTGATCATGTGTTTTTGCGCTAAACTTGCAGACCGTTAAAAGTAGGAATGTTTCCTGCGCTGTAGTTTAACAGTGGGATTACCACTGGTTGTGTTTTAGCCTCTTTCCGCATGCAGGGGGAAAGGACTCAGCTGAAATGAACGTGTTGCACTGTGGGACCTCGTAGACCTCCATCGTGCGTGATCATCAATTTTTTGCATGAAGCATGGTCATTTTTTGGGAGAACGGCCACTCATCGAAAAAAATGCAAATTTGAAAGTCGGAGGAGGATTATGGAATCCATAAAATGCACTCGCTTTTGAGGATTTGGAACAAAATTGAATATTTTTCACGCCTGTATGCATAGAATTTCACCTTCAAGCTGAATTAAGATTATACATGAATGCGGAATCTTGCAAATTTTCAGATGCAACCTGCCCGGTAAGCAAAATAGCCGATTCGTTATAAATATTTTTGAAGCGCCCTGACTCATGGCGCGAATAGAAACTCAATTTAGGCATACGTTTTTATGCGTTTTTGCTCTGCAGCGCTATAGCAACTCTATAGCGCTGCTACAGCCAGCAAAAGTGCGTATTATCGAAAGGCTGTGTGTGCGTGTGTGTGTGTGTGTGTGTGTGTGTGT